ATATATATATATATATATATATATATATTGAAATCTAGCATAGAAAAAAAAAAGAAAGAAACGAAGAAAGGAAGAAAGAAAGGAAGAAAAGGAAGGAACTTAAGGTTCAGAAATAATAATAATAATAATAATAATAATAATAATAATAATAATAATAATAGCAATAATAATAGTAGAAGAAAGTGTAGAAGAATAGGCGAGAGAAAAGACAGTATTAATTGACGAGGAGGAGGACTCCCACGGGTACTTCTTGGTCAACTCATAATTCTCTCTTAATGCGACGCTTTTCTTTTCTTTCTATTTCCCTTACCACCCTTACCACCCTTACCACCCTTCCTCCTTCAATATACTATTTTGTTCCAACCCTCCTTTTTTCCTTTTTCTCATCACCCAACACCGGAGATAATCTCTTTTCTCACACGAGAAACAACACAACGTGTTTTTCTTTCCAGGTTTTTCTCGATGCACACACACAGACGCACACAGACACAGAGACACAAATACACAGACAGATAGACAGACAGATAGGCAGACGGATAGATAGAAACACCATAGATTTTTGTACCTATAAAACAGATGTACGTATATAACACTGTGTGATATGTGCATGTGTGTGTGTGTATGAGTTTCTCTAGGGTTGCGTAGAAATAAAATTAAGGGTGAAAAGGGAATGAGAGGGGTGAGGGATGGGGGAGGGGAGGTGTTAGATGGGACACAACATTCGTCGATCGACTGAACGATGAGCAGATATTATTATTGTCCTTTCCCATAAAAGCTGAACTTTAGGAGATTGTTGCCCTTTCCCGTTCAGACACACATATACACACATACACTCATTTATTATTGCTTTCTTCAATGCCTTACGAGAAGTCCGGTAGATTAAGACGAAACGAGAATCGGAAGTCGAGTTTCAGGATTATTTCTGAGAATAGGAGTAGTATGTAGTGGTAGTGGTGGTATTATAAATTATATGGACATGGATGTGAAGTCATAAATTTGTCTTTCTATTTTTCTTTCATTCGGAAAATGATTTCATTTATCTGTAGAGTTTGTATTATTTATTATTAATATATTAAAACGTTTATTTATTAAATAATAAATTAATTTTATAATATATATTAATATCTTCTTAATATATATATATATAAATTACTTGTCACGTTGTTTGTCCGCAATGGACTCCTAAACTACTAAACCGATTTTAATCAAATTTTCCACACTGTGTGCAATTTCATTCAACTTGAAAGATAAGATAGTTTATATCTCAATTTATGATCGCAATATTATTTTATTAATCGCGAATTATTTGGTTATTAACAAAGAGTCATGATTATCTCAGTTAGTTCGATAAGATTCTAACAGATGGAGGTATTAGGTAATTCCTTGACTTAAAGACGTGTGTATTGGATTGATTGTAAGTCACAGCACCCCTAGTGTAGCACACCTAGTATTTTATATGTTATAAATTTGTATTTAACAACGTTAAATTATATAAGATTAAAATAACAAATTATTCTTTTCTAAATTTTAGTCTAAATATTATATTTAAAATATATCTCAATTTTATTTATTAATTATATTTATATATTTCATAATTTTCCAAATCATTTTCATTAGATGTTACGAATAATCAAAAACCAATACATACGTATATGATCAACACATATTTAAATATTTATCTAAATCTTTCTACTTAAACACACTTTCTATCCTATAAGAGATTTACATAAACACGTGTGTATTCCGTATAAATACCTATACACATACACCAATATACTTTTCTTCTACATAAGAGACAAACTGAGAGATAGATTATTGTGCAACGTAATTGCACGGTGGTTTGCAATGGAAACTCCAACTAAGACGACGACGACGAACAGAAAACAACGTGCACTATACCTGACGTATATTAAATAAAAAGAATCGATGGAAAAGTGAAGTTGCGGTTCAACAACAACATATGCAACACGATGCACTTTCAAATAGAACGTTGAGACTCTTCTTCTATTTATTTTTATTTTAAAAAATTTTTTTACACACGTAGAAAAAATTTGATTCATGCGGTGACGATAAGTTTTCCATCATTCGGTAATTTATAAAAATAATAATAATAATAATAATAATAGGAGAAAAGAAATGATTATTTTGATTATTTTGTGGTACGTTCTAAAATTTTCCATCTCTTTCTTTCTATGTGTTTGTGTGTGTTTGTGTGCGTGTTATGTGTGTGTGTGTGTGTGTTGTGTCTTTTTAACTTATCGATCTCCAAACGTTTACCTAGCATTATTACGACATAGCAATTGAAAGATCCGTTACCTGGTGCTACCACAGCAGCAAATAGTGATTACTAATGTATCAATTTGTACGTCGACTGATAATTTAAACGATTGATAAATGTCGACACTACTATGACGACGATTTTTCAAGAAACTAAGAAGTTTCTTTACTTTTTTGTTTTTTCTTTCTAATCAAATTATTTTATCGATAGTTTTACAAATATTCCTATAAACAAAATTTAATAATTTTGAGCTTGTAATTGGAACAATAAATTGAGCTGTTCTTAATAAAATATCTTTCTATATTTAATCAGTTAACTGTGGTTCTCCATTTTGAAGGTGAGCACCGCTGTGTGTCGCTACAGTCGACCAATGGCGAATTTTGAGGTTAAAATTGCACATTTATGTAGGATACAATTTTTGTTTCTAATCGTATTATTTTATGAATAGTTTTACAGATATTCTTATAAGCAAAATTTAATAATTTTGAGCTTGTAATTGGAACAATAAATTGAGCTTTTCTCATAAAATATCTTACTATACTTAATCAGTTAACTGTAATCTTCCATTTTGAAAGTGAGCACCGCTGTGTGTCGCTACAGTCGACCAATGGCGAGTTTTGAGGTTAAAATTGCACATTTATGTAGGATACAATTTTCTTTTTCTAATCAAATTATTTTATGGATAGTTTTACAAATATTCCTATAAACAAAATTTAATAATTTTGAGCTTGTAATTTGAGCAATAAATTGAGCTTTTCTCATAAAATATCTTACTATACTTAATCAGTTAACTGTAGTCTTCCATTTTGAAAGTGAGCACCGCTGTGTGTCGCTAAAGTCGACCAATGGCGAGTTTTGAGGTTAAAATTGCACATTTATGTAGGATACAATTTTCTTTTTCTAATCGTATTATTTTATGGATAGTTTTACAAATATTCCTATAAGCAAAATTTAATAATTTTAAGCTTATAATTTGAGCAATAAATTGAGCTTTTCTCAATAAAATATCTTTCTATGCTTAAGTTAACCGTAGCACTCCATTTTGAAAGTGAGCACCGCTGTGTGTCGCTAAAGTCGACCGATGATAAGTTTTGAGATTAAAATTGCACATTTATGTAATTTAAAATGAACTCTTAATTAAAATTAAAACAAAATAGTAATTTACAAATCTTTTATTTCATCTTACTAATCTTAAAATTTAAGATAATTCTTCAAAATCTTCTAATCTTACAATTTAAATAGCCAATGGGTCATGACTTTTTACGCATGACACAAAATTCTGCCACTTTCTTTTTCATGACGAATACATTCATCACAAATTCACAGCTAACTGGTTAATTGAAGTTGTAAATAAATTCATCAATCGTACGATTATCTTCTATTACATCGATTTTAAACACTTTCCTATAAAATTTCTGACTCAAATGATGTTTCCCACAATTAACTTCAAACTCAAGTAAAAATTGCAGACAAAAATTGAAATAAAAATTGATCACGAGTCAGACACGTCATCAAAATACAAAAACTAAACGAAGTTTATTAATCAATTTTAGAATGATACTTTAATTTAAAAATGTTAATATTTTTTTTATAATAACCTGAACAAAAAAATACGTCAATTATTAAAACAATAATAATTGTATCACCATAAGATTGAAATATAAAAATAAATTTGTAATAAATGGAAGAGATTAATGTAAATAAGAAAAAAAAGAAAAAAAAGAAAGAAAGAAAGAAAGAAAGAAAGAAAGAAAGAAAGAAAAAAAGATAAAGGACTTCGATCGGGCGAGATAATTGAAGATAATTTTCTCGGCCCGTGGCCCCATGGCTCGTGCTACGCCATGCCCACTTAACTTTCACGTAAGGGGATGTGGCCACTTAGCCGTTACATGCTCGCTTACTCTCCCATGCATATGTAAAACACGACTTCGAGTTCGTGGCTTTCCACGAGAAATGACTAGGGAAAAGAAAGACAGAAAGAGACAGAGTAAAAGAGAGAAAGAGAGAGAGAGAGAGAGAGAGAGAGAGTAAAAGAGAGAGAGAGAGAGATAGGAGAAGATATTACGCTCATAATTTACACTCGTCGACCTATTCACTATGTTAAGTTTCATTCTCGTTTTCATTCTACTTGATAAAATCAGATTTTATTATTATTGTTGTTATTGTTCTACCAAAGTTGAAAGATTACGTGTAATTTCTTTTAATTATATAATATATAAAGTAAAGTAATATATAAAGTAAAGTATAATATATAAAGTAAAGATATATATATATATTTATATACAGGGATTATTATTATTATTACTTTTTTAATTTTAAAGTGATAAATTAAAATTTAATTATTATATTATATTATTATTATTACTTTTTAAATT